TTGGAATCCACCAAATTTGATACAGTAAGCTGACTACACAAGCCGGATTTCCCAAGCAATCAGTCGAGTTTCCATCAGATTGCTGTCAGGCTTACTTAATTATAGACAGAATAGCATCATCGGCAGAGACAAGGGAGACTGGTAATTGTGCTATGATTTACCCTACTAACAACACAGGTACATGTTAAAAGCCCAGACACGCGTGTTTCGCCGATCTTATGCCGCTGCCTGACGAGCTGCGAGGGGTTCGGCTCGTCAGTGGGTCCCCCAGCATTCCCTACGTGTCTTCTGGTAAATGAACTCCAGTTTCAACTTGCCTTGTTTAATTTCCGGAGGAAACTAATGCGCAAACTTGGAGCAAATCTTTCGAAACGGGCCTTTTCAGGCACGGTCCAAAGTTTGATATGAATACCTGAGCTAAAATCCATCACCTACTGCGGAATAACCGCTGAATATTCACAAACCGCCAACAGGCAGCCAGTTGGTACAGTAAATCATTGCAGTTCTATACTACTGGCCGCCTGTTGGTGGTTTGTGAATATTCAGCGGTTATTCCGCAGTAGGTGATGGATTTCAGCTCAAGTATTCACATCAAACTTTGGACCGTGCCTGAAAAGGCCCGTTTCGAAAGATGTGCTCCAAGTTTGCGCATTAGTTTCCTCGGAAATTAAACAAGGCACGGAGACTGGCAATGCTATTCTGCCTATATCATGCGCCGCTGTGCGGCTGCCGGTCGGGCTCGAGATAGCCCTAAGTCGCAACGGAACAAATGAGTTCCGTAGAAAAACGATCGGTGAACGCCCCTCTACTACTTACTTAATTAATGTTTTTTGGCAAATTTAAATAATTCACGTGACCTAGTTAATAAATTCACTGAAACTTCATTGTGTCATATACTACTATGTTCATTGAGTGTGGCAGCAGTCGCCAGATCACCCCACTTCAAGAGTCTGGATGTTGTCATCGCATATACCACTGAAGTAAGTGAGCGCCCAAGAGTAGGTAGTTACTTTGATGGGCCGGCAGTCGCACGAGAGGCCTAGTTGCATTGAGTGGCCCCGTCCGACTTTCAAGTCTCGTCCCGAAGTGGTACTGGGCACGACCACCACACCTCGTTAGACGCCATTACTTGAAAGCGTACTCAGCTGCAGGTAACCGACGTCCCTCCAGTGCCGTGGAGTTTGTGCGCGAAGGCTATGCGGGAGGAACCGGTCGCATCGTGGCACGCGTTGACGGAGACTTTGTGGCATGTCAGACACCGCTCCCTACCTCATCTTTAGCCGTCCCGTTCTTGTCTTACCCCTGGATCACGAGGAGTCTGGCAGCAGAGTGAAGCTGATGCCTTGCAAGTTTCCAGTGCCTTCCCAACAATGGTGGTCCTCGTGCATTCTAACGGACAGACTGTCATGTATGCTGCTGGCAACCCTATATGTAGTCGTTGCCTCCGCAGACATCGGAGAGTTGGTTGACTTCACCCTGAAAGTGCAGCTTAACTAAATGGTGACCCTCTTCAGCTTGACGTGGCATTATGGCTGCCGTTCTCACATAGCAGTTTCATCGATTTTGTGTCAATTCGGTGCACAGCGCGCTTAAGGCCCTACAATCGGTCCACAGTGCATTCTCTCCACCCCCGCCCTCCCTCCCTAGTTTGAATTTTAAGCCTGTCCTTGTTTCGTTTTTCCGGTAGTTTGCCAACGTTTGACTTTGTTGTCCCACGTTGCTGTTCCAATATGGTCAATTTACCTCCTATTTCATCGTTCAGTCAAGCTAGGAGGTTGGAATTAAGCGCGATTAGGACGGCGTGGGTCTTTGGTGCAAAATGTTTCAAAGGAATTCCGGGCTAGACTGAAACATGTCCACCCACCGAAATCAATCCGCAGACTACACTGTATCCCCTGGGCTAAACAAACCCCAACACCTCCCCAAAGTCATTGCTGAGTACGGTTCATAATTTCCACGAGAACGATAACAGCAGAACCAACTCCCCATACTGTCATCCTTCGATTGGCAAAGTTCAGAGATCCGGATTGATGATTTAAGAAATAGGAAAGGCCCACCGGAACCGATTTATTGGAATGTTGACTTTTTGGAGAGCTTTAGTCGGCTCACTATTGTCGAAGTGTAAGATGCGCACACGTCTAAACTTCTCATTTCCTGCTAGATCCTGGATCGTTTAAGTACTGACTCTTACTCCTATAACTGACCATACATCATTATGAATAGATCTTGAATCATATCAATAGGATCAAACTCCCATTGCGTTACCCGTAGAATGCTGCCACGTTTTGTTTATCTGCGGCTGAACTATTGTAGTCCAAGTAAACGAACATGGTGACCGTACTGCCAAAAGTTTCACATTCGAGGTCAATAACCAAATGCAGTCGTCTACCCGACGAAAGTAAGCAGCAACCATGTAACCATGGATTTTGGATTTGCCGAATTCCGAAAACTCTCAACTGGCCCTTACAATTATTCTACGGCACATCGTAATACGGAATCCAGAATGTGTCCACTCAATCCTCTGTTCGTAATAGCTTATTAAATGATTGTCGTCAATTCACTTCACCATACATAAGTACCGGTAATTCTTTGGACGAAGAGACCTAGAGAGCTGAGCTGACCTGCATAGGTTAGAGCAAGGTAAAGTGTTCCATCTATTTGGTCGGAAACTTAGTGAATATGTGCCGTTTTGTTTGAACGCGACAGCCGAGCAAATTAGGTACTGAACTAGTTATAACAGTATCGATGTGCGTGTCAAAAAAGGTAAAATGTATGCTACCGCCACAGCTAGTTCTCTGGGAGAACGTAGTCTCTATTGACTTTGGCGAAAAATTTTCATACCATGATGATGGACAAATGTGGTAAATTTCCCACAGTATCCTGTAGATCGCAACTCCGGATCCAAGCTAGGACCCAGCAGTTTATTTTCGCAACCTTTACTGAACAGAACTCACATTGCTACCTCCCTCGAGGTGGTCGATAGGGTGACTCGCGGCTGTATCCACCATCGAACATACGAACCTTGGTGTCTGTTAAAGGTCTCTCTAAGACTTTTTTTCGCCTCCGGGGAAGTGTTGTTAGTGTTCGAGCGATTTTAGACCTTGTCACTTGACAGATGGGCGAAGGGCAGTCACACTAAAGATGGCTAATCACGACACTGTTTTGTCGTCTTACCCTGACCGCTGTACTCATCCGAGGAAGTCCTGCTTAACGAGCCTGTCGAAGAGGACAAAGTCGTGTCCCGATGGTCTGACATTAATTTACAGTTCCAAGTCATTTCCTTTTCGAAATAGCACTCATTTGGAGTGTTCTACTTCAACAGCTGACGCCCACGTGTGCCTCCCCCCTTCACCACTGTCGGGCAACTTCTGTTTGGTAACCCCTACGCTTCTGTTTCCTCCCTGACAGGCACCTGGTACTGCCCGTGGCACTTTTGCGACGACTGCGGCCACCCCGCCACTCACCTCTGTTGGCGCTGTCCAAATTCCTACTGTCTGCAGCACGCCGACAAACGCATCGTAGTGGATGAACTTGACGCGGAGCGATGGCAAGCGGCCACAAAGGTTATGAGCAGTCGAAGCGGTGAAGTCCAGCCCTCCAACCTGCAGTCCTCTCAGATCCTGCCCGTGGTCCTGAGCTGTCGGTGGATCTGCATCGATCACGCAAACGTGAAAATCAGCGGACCGGGTCATCGACCCAGCCTCCTACTGGAGGATTTGGAAGACGCGAAGCCGAGGGATATGAAGTCTGCAGACCCACTGGAGGAGGATGTGGAGAACAAGGTGCCAAGTGGTTCGCCCACTGCTGCGGCCCAGAAGGAGACGGAGGAGGCGAAGGTAAGGAAGAAGAGGACCTCCACGGCGGCGGTTGCGACGGGGCATCAGACCCCGAGACGACTGAAGCACCCGACGAGCGGGGCTGCGTCACGATCCCTGCCCAAGAAGTTGATAACTGCAAAGTACGTCAAGGCTGGACAACTGCAACAGCAGAAGCGGCGTCCGCGCTTTCTGTCCATGGTGGAACGCAAGCGACGTCACTCTGCCAGCAGTACTGCACCGACACCACATTTGAAGCGGAAACGGAGCTCGTAGTCGCAGGGGTCGGAAGCCTGACTGCATTTACTGAGACCCTCCTACGCTGCGTTACTGACCCTCTCCTTGTCATCGTCATAAGTTTGCCTCTCCGTGTGCGCATTCCCCTTCTCTCTAGAGGAGGTTGAAGCCGCACGGCGCCGCTCTGTTCCCTCAGATTATGCCCTGATTTCTTATGCATTGTCATCCCCTATTTTTTTAAGTCCCGTTGCTGTGTCCCACGTTTTACCACCCTCCCTGTCCAACAAATAAATGTTCTTCTTCAACTGGTGCAGATTGTCTTGCTTAGTGGCGTGTGTGTGTGTCAGTTAATATAGGCGTTTCTGAAACTCCAATGTCTTTTTGTCATTCCTATACGAGCACGTGTACTGAGACCCGAATTCGTGCTTAACTGTGGAGCTTTAGGTGAGCACCTCGGAATTTGCATGTTCTCGGTAGAGGCTATACAGCACCACATGACGGCGGCGCTTATCGGCCCACCTTGGATGCGGGAATTGTTGTGAACTTGCCGCACGCCTCGCCGGTCGGCCGTCCAACAAATCTGCTCTATCGAACTCCCAACTCGGGACTTAGCAGCAAAGACGGAGGAAAAGGTGGGCAACGGTAGGGTGAAGGACTTCAAGTAGCTATTGGTGTGCTGTGGATTGTGTCATACGGGAATGATGGCCTAACCGGCACACAAGCGCATACTAACTGCACGAAAGCTACATACTTCAAATATTTTTTTGTAGAAAACATGCACAAAATATGCTTTCTTTTAATTGTTTGGTGGAAAATAACATTGTTTTTACATTTTATACGCGAAGAAAGTGTTTATTTAGGTTTTTAAAAAGTATCCCAATAAGTTTGGGCCAGATCAGTTGTTGCATCACTATACTTGTACTTGATACGGCTGCGATCATGCCTGATCTAGCCGGCCTCGATGATGTCCCGAATTGTACCTCTCCACGCGTGACGATCCGCGGCAGCAGATCTAGACAGCTCAACCCATTCCCTTCGCCAACGACGGAGGCCGAATACCGAAGGTCCAAGAACCACCTCCATGTCTTGACGGACAGTGTCGAGCCAGGTTTTGAACTGACCCCCTCTTCGACGCCTCCAATGGGGCAACGGTGCCGGATCAAGGGCAGTAACACTGAGCTCCTGAGGTGGACGACGAAGAACATGCCCGAACCACCTCAGTCGTCTTTCTTGGATGGCCTGAGTTATCCTCGCGATGTTCTCGCAGCGAGCGCGGACTATCTCATTTGAGACGAAGTTGGTTAACTTCACTCGAAGGATGATCCTCAAGCAGTGGTGGTCAAATACCTCCAGTTTTCGCTCATCCGCCACGCGCAAAGCCCAGCATTCACAACCGTAGAGAAGGACAGACCGGACAGATGCACGGGACACGCGAATCTTAGTGGCGATGGAGAGGTCACGTCGGTTCCACAGGCATTTCCGAAGGCTTGAAAAAACCCAGCGGGCAGCATCGATTCGGGAGACAATGTCGTCCTTACTCTGTCCATTAGGCAGCAGCCGCGCCCCGAGGTATTTAAAACTGTCCACTTCTTCAAGTTGACAGCCATCAATCCCCAGGGGTGCCTTCTCCTGGTCAGGGATGCAGCTTGAGAATACTTTGGTCTTCCCAGCGTTTATGGACAAACCGACTGATTTAGCGACCTCGTTCACCCGTGACACCATAGACTGCAGATCACCAAAACTTGAAGCAAGTAAGGCGATATCATCGGCATAGTCGAGATCAGTCAGTCGATGTCCGGGTGCCAATTCAACACCGTCACTGTCGCGTAGGACCCTCCCGAGGATCCAGTCAATAGCGTAGTTGAACAGTATGGGTGACAGGATACAACCCTGTCGGACGCCAGACCGAATACCGAACGGTTGGGAAAAAATTGTTACGGACCAGGACTCTCGCGGTAGTGGAACGATAGTAGGCCTTGATCATGGCGATGATTTTTGCCGGTACACCATCTAGCGCCATTATCCGCCACAGGGACTCACGGTGAACGGAATCGAACGCGGCGGCAAAGTCAACGAAGCAGGCGGCCGTCGGTTGTTGGTAGCTATGGCGAAATTCGAGAATGCGCCTCAGTGTGAATATCTGGTCTGCGCATCCACGTCCAGCACGAAATCCGGCTTGGTTGGGCCTCGTCCTTGAGTCACGCACAGCCTGGAATCGTCTGAGTAGGACAATAGCGAAGATCTTCGCAGCAACGTCGATGAGACTTATGCCGCGGTAGTTCTCGCATCTCGTCTTATCTCCCTTTTTGAGGATAGGTACAAGGATGCCTAAGCCTCAGTCATTAGGAACAACCTCGTCTCGTCACTATTTAGCGATTCCAGTCCACAAGGTGCATGCTTTCCGCACAAGAAAAATCATATATCCCTCCATGCCTTTAAGAAGGTACCGTGCTCATAAAATTTTGCAATGGATACGGACTATGTTGCAGGATTCACGAGGAGCATTGGTAAACGGAGATGTGCGACGCTGTGTGTATGAACATCACAGTCTTAAAAACCCCATAATTAGACACTTCAAAATCTAAATATGCTCTTTCTTCGGTTATAAAGTGTAAGGACGATGTTATTTTCTACCAAACAAGTAAAATAAAGCATATTTTGCGCGTGTTTTCTATAAAAAGAATAGTTGAATTTATAAGGCCATCGAAAATCATTATGAAAAATGCATGCCAGATAAGTAGTCATTTTATGCGGAGGGTAGCTTCTATGGGAGGTCGAAATTAAGTGCATTCAAAAGTTGACATTCTGGCGAGTCCAAAATTCTATAGCGGTATGCCGCTTGATAATCAGCATTACAACTCCGCCTAAGTAATCCTTTCTAATCGAAAACACATTTCTAAATTTCGGCCAAAATTTCATCAGATCGGTCACGCACTGGATTTCAACACCCGGGGGGGGGGGCAATTTACCACCCTTATCTAACTCCGTCTCTGATGACGGATTCGAGTGAGAATCCGAAACGTAAGGCTAATAAAGCTCTTGTTCCAGCGATCGTGTCTCCTTCTTCGCAATGCAAACTGCGTTGTGTAAGAACTGCTTCTCATGAAGTGTCTCGGGGTGGGGGTGCAGTTGACGACAGTGAGTAGAGTCCTGTCAGATGGTGCACAACAGCCACCCCGTTGTAATACCACTGTGATTTCCCAGGTCAGGGCCCGGACACGTCTAACGATCTTTCTGCTGAGTGCTTCGCGAATACTACGTTCGCGTCGGGCTCAACGGCCTACTTGTATTGCAGTCGGTCTTCTTTGGGGCGGCTTCATGATTCACAGTCTCCCAATGCGTCCGGGGTCCGCATATGCAACTGTTGTCAGCCTCGTTCGGGTCGAAAATGCGCCGACGTATGTGTGCATACTCAGTAGATGTTCATTGGCAGTATTGTAGTAATCCGCTAGACTAAATTGTTAGAAAAAATCGGCGGGATTCGAACGGACGGAAGCAGTGGCGTGGCCCGAGTTCAGTCAAAACTCCAGCCACCTGAGCTACGAGGCTCCAAGCGAACGTAGGGAGTGATCACATTTGGGTCAAGTTACCCGCTCAGCCTGATGCAACCTTTGGAGCCCACCAAATCTGATACAGTAAGCTGACTGCCCAAGCAGAATTTCCTAAGGAATCAATCTGGCGTCCACCGGATGAGTAACTGGCTCACTTTGGGCAGATTTGGGTAAATCATCAGACCGATCTGTGAGGCCCGACGGCCTTGGTAGACTTCGAAGCAACGACTTTTTTGACATCCATATCTTAGTACAGATGTTATCATTACAGAGACATCGGCAGTTTTCTGCTCAGATACTCTACAAAATCGCAGCCGGAACTCAAAACTAGCTTCAAAACAGTTCATCCGAACATCGTCTAATATTTGGACTTAAATCTAAAGAACTACATCTTATGAATCAAGTCTCACTGTAGATCACATGAGGACCGCTGATGGGCCCAAACTTCGAGGATGCCTCACGCAGCAGCCGAAAATCAAAGTATGTACGTGTCCAGACTTCAGGCTATTACCTCCACTGAGAGTATGCTGCGGTGTTTTTTAAGCCCAAGATTCTTAACCAGTAAGCTCCGGTCATGGTCGAGGAGCTGTCACTGATCGCGCTACGGGACATCCTCGTCCTGTTACGACCTGGACCTTGACCACGCAGCCGGACGAGTATGTGCCGTAACGCGACCGATGAGCGCCCCTCCACCGTAGTTAATTGTCCGATCGAAATCGACAGGGCAACGAAACGGTGGCTCACTTGTTTTAGCGTCGGACCTCAGGGGTTGGAAAACCTAGGGCTGGGTATGACTGGCTGGTGACGGCTAATAGGCCAGAAGTGGCCACTCCAGTTCCCCCCCCCCCATCTTTGTCAGTAATGTCAAAACCCGGTTAGTCGAGTCAGCGGCAAGTTGAGTCAGTCACCCACTCTGGCCAAGTGCTGAAGAACAGAGGCACCTCGTGCGCAATATCGCGAACCTACTTTTCCTATTTGAAACAACACTCCGCCTAATGGGGCCGGTAATTGCCCCACGTTAAACTGAGACTGCCTGCAGGGGGTGGGCCGATTTTACGACGGCAAGCGCTTTGGAAGGGGCGGGGGACGGTACGAGTGCAGCTGTCTCAGTTTCTATCGCCAATTTAGTGTTTGGTGATTGACTGGTCCGGTTGGTCACTCATTCCCCCTAATCGCCCTCAGACAACAAAGAGGACATGGGGGATTCAGCAGTAGCCGGCAAATTCGGCTGTCCGAATCAGATACAGAACCAACGGCCCAACACTAGGGATCGGTAGCTGGTGGGAAAACAGGCATGCCAAAGTGCGGTTGGAATAAGTATCTCCCAAAGGACACCATAGGACATCCTGAAACGGAGAGGAGATGAAGCCCTCAAACGGTTAATCCACTGTAACTCCGGATAAACATGCCGCAAGGCTAAATCGATATAAGAGCAACGGTATGGAGAAGGACCCCACTTTACTGTCGGTAGACTGTGGATCACGTCATAGAGGCTTTTATCTTGGCATCCATTCGTAGGCCTTTGCAGACATTCCACTGCCAATAACAATCACTTCCCATGACTTCAAACCATCACTCAAACCCTTATTTTTGAAATTTAGTCCTTGTTTATTTTCAATTACCGCGCTTATTTCGGTTGTCGTACGAAAGTCTGTCAGGAGAAATCCAAACAATTTCTGTTTTCCTGCATTTCGTCAGCTTGCTGTTTAGTTCGCTACCCCATCCGTAAAATTCACCTTATCAGCAATCACATATGACACGATCCACAGTTTACCGACAGTAAAGTGGGGTCCTTCTCCATACCGTTGCCGACATAAGTTTTAGCCCAATGAGGAACGCTTACTTGCAGTCTACCGTACATCGGAGTTCTCGGTGTCCAGTCTCCGGCGGCATATTCCTAAATACAGACGGCAGTTGTCATTTAGCCGTTTTCAATGATACTATGCCCGCCGGCATCTACAGGTCTTGCATCGACAATCTGGCTCCCTGGCTCCGTGAGGCGATTGAACAAGCGTGGATGGGCGAGGTCGCTCCTGATGACTGGGACTCGGGGATGTACCCTCAAGAAGGGGGATAAGACGAGATGCGAAAACTACCGCGGCATAAGCCTCATCGACGTTGCTGCGAAGATCTTCGCTATTGTTCTTCTCAGGCGATTCCAGGCTGGGCGTAACTCAAGGTCGAGGCCCAACCAAGCCGGATTTCGTGCTGGGCGTGGATGCGCAAACCAGATATTCACCCCGAGGCGCATTCTCGAATTCCGCCTTAGCTACCAATAACCGACGGCTGTCTGCTTCATTGACTTTGCCGCCGCGTTCGATTCCGTTCATCGTAAGCCCCACTTGCGGATAATGGTGCTAGATGGTGTATCGGAAAAATCATCGCCGTGATCAAGGCCTATTATCGCTCCACTACTGCGAGAGTCCGGGTCTACAACAATCTTTCCAACTATTCGGTATGGCATTCGAGAGGGTTGTATCCTGTCGCCCATTCTGTTCAAATACGCTCTTGACCGGATTCTTGGGAGGGCCCTACACGAAGATGACGATGTTGACCTTCCACCCGGACGCCGACTGACTGATCTCGACCATGCCGACGATATCGCCTTACTAGCTTCAAGTTCTGTTTACCTGTCGTCTATGGTGCCACGGATGATAGAGGTCGCTAAATCGGTTTATCCATAAACGCTGGGAAGACTGAAGTGTTTTCAAGCTGTATCCCTGACCAGGAGAGGGCACCTCTCAGGATTGATGGTTGTCAACTTGAAAAAGTAGACGGTTTTAAATACCTCGAGGCTAGGCTGCGGCCTAATGGACAGAGTAAGGACGACATTGTCTCCCGAATTGACGCTGCCCGCTAGGTTTTCTAAGCCTTCGAAAATGCCTATGGATCCCACGTGACCTCTCCATCGCAACTAGGATTCGCGTGTACCGTGCATCTGTCCGGTCTGTCCTTCTCTACAGTTGTGAATGCTGGGCTTTGCGCGTGGAGGACGAGCGAAAACTTGAGGTATTTGATCACCACTGCTTGAGGACTATCCTTCGAGTGAAGTTCACCGACTTCGTCTCAAATGAGACAGTCCGCGCTCGCTGCGACAACATCGCAAGGATAACCCAGGCCATCCAAGAAAGACGACTGAGGAGGCTCCGGCATGTTCTTCGTCGTCCACCTCAAAAGCTCAGTATCACTGCCCTCGATCCGGCACCATTAACCTATTGAAGGCGTCGAAAAGGGGGTCAAATCAAAACCTGACACGACGCAATTCGTCATGACATAGAAGTGGTTATTGGACCTTCGGTACTCGGTCTCCGTCATTGGCGAAGAGAATGGGTTCAACTGTCCAGATCCGCTGCCGCGGATCGTCACGCGTGGAGAGGTACAGTGCGGGATATCATGGAGGCCGCCTAGATCAGGCATAATCGCAGCCGTACCAAAATACAGACAAGTAGGAAAGATAAAAGGCAGATGAGACTCATAAGATCTGGCACAGAGTTTATAACAGACGTCTTAAAATAGGATATGCACAACTCGGCTGTTGGGCATGGCAAGGGGATACACGCATTAAAACGGTCTCAGTACATCGAGGATTGCAAAGCATATCCGAACCATATGAATACAATTTAGATACAATGTGTTTGCATTTTAACCGAAGCACGATTCTCATTCAATGAATCTGAAGGTGTCTGACTGCACCCGCCAGAGATTGGACTCCTGAATGAGGAAAAAGGTCTCGGAGAAGGTCTTTGAAGGATTTCCGTCAAACTTGATGGTTCCAAATACATTCACCATCACTAGACTGGAGCCGCCGCTTATCGCTTCTGAAAAAAAAAGAGAATATATAGGACCGCCTGAGAGGGTAGAAAGATGGAGCGCCAGTTGTAACGAAATACGTAAAACAGTGACCAACACTTTTAATTATGCATTAAAATAGGAAAATATGTGAGTGAATTCAGCGATGACCGCATAGTGACTGTTTATGTTCAACGAACTGCGAGGATCTACTCTCGTCTTAATCCACGAAGATGGGACACTCGAGGTAAAACGACATTTCCACATCCTGACGGACTGCATCGAGTCGTACCCAGTGGGACAGTGCTGTTTGAACGGCCAGTGATAAGCGTGTCCAACGCATCGCAGTCGTTTTGAGATGTGCTGCCGCAGCGAATACGAACTGCCTTATGAAAGATTAAGCTCGTGTGTGCTTCTATAGGAGGACCCCATCTCCGACTTTCTTGACTACCTATTGACACCTGGTCCAGGTGGGAGAGGAGAGAGTGCGGTAGATGCTGCGCTAGTCACCGTGCCTGCTTCACCTTGTTGTGGAGCACACGGTGGACATCGTCAGCAACGACAGTCGAACTGTCAGGAGGACCGTTCTCATGAAATGACTGTCAGAAACGGGTCTTGTCTTCTATCCCACAGCCCAGAATTAGTAATCGTAGGGAACTGACTCGGCAGATTCCCGATACAGGCGATTAAGATATAGCGACAAGCTAGTTAGACATCTTCAGAAGCTTGCTAAAAAAAACTAGGGGCATGATTGACCCAGACAGCCATGTCGTGTCTGACCTACCTGTTTTGAAACAACTTTGTCCGGGGCTGTCCTCTACTGTTCGGAGGGGCAGTTAAACTCTTTGAGCCGACTTCGCCAAGGTTGTTTTATAAAAGACTGTGGTCTCGAACATCTCAGACATCTTGGCGGCATACACATTCCCCGACCATATCCTTTACCGAAGATTCACACAGACGGCTTACCAGTGCGTCCGATTTTTGATATGCGAAACACCCCGTACCACTCGACGGCGGAGTGATAATTAGAGAACCTCAAGCCCACACAATATCAGCCATCATCATATAGTTGTCGGGGTACTTTCGAGTTCCTTGATAACGCCAAAGAACTCGACCTAAACGGAATGTTCGTGTTTTTTTTACTGACTCCTCATCCCTCCTAACAAGCGCACCGGTCGCCATGACAGTAGATTACCTCCGCGAATTACTACCAACCGATCAGTAGGAAAAAGGGATACCTGTAAACTCAAAGAGCCACTGCTAAAATGCACGTTAAAAGTGCAGTTCTTTTTAAGCAACGACGTATAAGATAATCAGACTGAGTTGCCATGGGTTCGTCCTTTTGTCCGTTTCGAGCTGATGCATTCGTGGGTGGGGGGAGGGGAGGGGGTAGAGACTTCAACTAGGCTACCAAATTAGTAGGCTAAGTCATTACGGCCCTCACACGCAGATCCTTGCAACTGCAAACGCCGACGTGATTGCTCTGGTAGACGCTGCAAGCTAAGCGAGAACGTCGATTGGAGGCGAAAGCTGCAGGTTCACTCCCCCTGCTTAGGCGTCGTTCTAAGCAGTTTCGTGCACCTTCACCGGAAACAGTTCAGTCCGCTTTCTGGCCCAATGGTCTGCAAACAATTCGCTCGACAGATCGCGTCGTGGAGAAGTTTCGGAGGATTCAAACCTTGTTTCGCGAGAACGGACATCCTGGACTTTCTATTGCATAGAATGTTGTCGAGAGACGCACCATGCCGGCAGCGGGAAAGGAAACGCTACTTCTCAAAGTTCCCTTTTAAAGGAGCACGGCGGGTGAACTGAGAAGACGTCTTGACGAAGCTGTCTCGCAAACCTCCCCAGCAGCAAGAGTCCGGATATTATTCTGGACAAACCCCATTTCTACAGGGCGAGAGTAATGGGATGTTGTCAGGTACATCTACTCCTGTGGATCAGGTACATCTCAGGTACATCTTACTCCTGTGGATCAGGCTGTATCGATGGCACGAGTCGGCATATATCTAAAAGGATACGTGAACACTGCCGATAGAAGCGAACAGGCGAGTTCCAGGTCATAAAACGAAGATGCGGTCGCTGGAACAAGAAAGTTATTGGCCTAACGCCTCGGTTTCCCACTCGAACCCATCATCAAGGACAGCTGCAGATAAGGGTAATGGTGACAAAAGGATCTAGCGCAGTTGCGGAGAAAGCAATTACGTGAGAGAAACTGGGAGATTACTTTGGACGCGGATGGCCGAGCACACGGTAGCAGTGAGGCGGGGAGACAGTAGCTGTCAGGCGGAGGCTCATTCGACGGGACCAGTCATATTTTGAAGTTTCAAGAGGCCGAAATCCTCGCAAGGGGGTGGCAATTGCGTGAGCCGCGAACTGCTCGAGTCATGGTTCTCTGGCCCGAAATCCATCAACAGGCGCAATGACCTCCCGGTACCATATTCCGTGCTTAGATTTGCCCTGGGCAGGGGGATCAGTCGCGTGGGGAGGGCGGGGGAGAGCAACAATCCCAGTGGCAGTGATTCAAATGGCTGAGCAATCGTCACGCTAGCATCCAACGCAGATGACGAAATCGCGGCGATGAACGACTCGGGCGTGGACTGACAGGCCATCATCGCATCGATTACGACCTCCAGCGGTGGTGGCGAGAGCTGTTACTTACAGTACGCATATGGTCCCACGGCAGCCGCGTGCTTTAAAGGCTGCACTCCTTGTGCCACCATTACCCTTATCTGCGACTGGCTCTGATGGCGGGTTCGAGTGAAAATCTAAAGCGTCGGGCCAACAAATTCCTTGTTCCATCGATCGTATGTTTGTCTTCTATATGTGGACACTCCCCAGCATGGCTGAGAAAGGGCTAAATTGAGAACCTAAACCGCGCCATCCCTGCCCATAGGGCGGATCCCAACTAAGCCTTCCGAGTGACTTACAAGGACCTACTAGGTCAGTCTGATGATAACAGCAGAAGCGGTCGCAATCATGTTATGCTGGCCGATCCTGTGCGCACAGAAGAACTCCGTACAGGCCCCGGCATTTACTATGGCGGACAGCGAATTAACCTGACCGCGTGCTATGCTCCGCAATTTCCCTCCGACGCTGCCTGTTTCAATCCCTCCCTCACCCACGCTATCCGTCTTTACCTGACCAAATTATATTGATAAATTGGCCAATTTATTTGTCGTGGGTGATACTATAGTCTGCAGTACACCGTAGTTTGATGCTGGTAATGTTGTCGTTAACATGTCAACGTCTGGTAGTCGGCATCCCGCGTAAAGGTAACACCGAGTAACACATTCCGATGTAGATGCAGGCTTTTAATTCCCTCAAAAATCAATCAACAACTTGGAGTAAATCAATCTATTTGAGACTTATAGACTCAGACTGAAATTTGATACGGACTATTTGGGCCGGGGTCCTGCAATTTCAAAAACTGGAATATCTATCAGAAAGTACACAGGAGACGCTGCGGGGATCCACTGATGAGCCGAACCCCTCACAGCTGTGTCATGCAGCAGCAGAATGTCGGTGAAACACGCGTCTTTGGGTTTTCGGCTAGCACCCGTGCTGTCAAGTAAGGCATATCGTTCAACCTATACATTTTGATTTAGTCAAACCGCATAATCAGAGGAAAGAGACGACAAAATACATCCCTATCGAACACCTGACAGAAAATTTAACGTTTATGAGAGGTTTATTCGGGCAAGAACTGAAGGTTGTGGTGTACAGCAGTAATAGGCAGTCAGTCAGCATGCACAAACTCGGAGGCTTTACCGAAGTCAACAAATCTGCCCGTGGGTTGGGAAGGTTTTCAGAAAAAGGCCAGGATTCCGCAGAGCATGAATTAGTGCGAGATTAAGCTCTAATAGGTATCGCTCCAACAGCTGATCATCAAGGTCCTATTTCATGCACTTAATTAAAACGTATGTATTGCGTACATAAGTAGCGACTTACTCTGGATTGGTTGTGCGGACAGGGTGTGCAGATTGGTCTGACTGCGAGGCAGTTTCGTCCAGTAGGCGACAACATCAGAACGGGACTCCACACGGTTGCCATTCCACAGGAGAATGGCATTTTCTGTGTAGAAACCGGGTAAGTCAGGGCGTCCCGGTTTGTCCAGACTGCGATAGAAAAGGGAACTGAATTTCTCCGCAGCCTCGGAGGCTGTGCGCCAGGCCTGCCTCTCATCCGGATCATTTAGGTTGGGTGGAACACTGGGGATCGCCACGCCTTCGGCCATTCTGGAAGGACAAATTTAATAAGATTACTGTAGTTTACGGTACTCCGTTCGGTAGTGTCCATTCACAATGATCTGATGGGCGTCTCTGGGCGGACTACTTCCCTTCTCCGACATCTACCAGGCTAGTACAAAGAGGACTTGCATTTCACAGCAGTGACGAATGCACTGATGCGCATGATCGGCTTTTAGTTTCTGGCTTCCGCCGTGCATTAAGCGGTTGGAATGTGCTGAGAAGTGGAATAACGGTGGCCGGTCAGACCATTTTCCACCAAAGTGATGCTGGTTCTGTTCCACAAAATAACCAAACTTCACGTAAACAGTTCAGGACATGAAATTCAGACCCACCACAGATAAGCTAACTTAGTATGTCATTAGGGAGGGTGATACGCGTAGACATGGTACTTCCTCGAACACTGTGTCTCGCTACACAGAGGCCGTAAGTGAACCGGCCGCAGGCCCCAAGTCCTGCAAGCACACACACAGCCCGGTGAAAGGGATAGCTAGCACAGCAGTCTAGCTGGCGATTCACCCACAACCGGACCTGCAACAGTGACAACGCCCATTTAAGAGCAAGAAACCCAGGAGGAACATGAAAACCCGGCTTCAACGAAAACATAAACTATCTGGAGGAGAATCAGTTGGCCCCTGGCTGACATTTATTTCACGCACAGCACAGTCCAATCGATCTCTACTTCAGGCGAATGCTGATCGGCCAGCCGATCGCACGCGTTCACACGCCATCTAGGTGAAAAACCGATGACGCTTACACACGCCATCACGAACCAATCAGATCACAGTTTCGCGTGCGTTCGGGCGCATTGTCAGCGTGCGCTAGGGTTCTGAACAAAGTGATTTCTTGTTCACTTACGGTCTCCTCCTTCGTCTACCACAAAAGGCGGTACTTGCTGCTGCATTTTCGGCAGTTCGGGATACTACCGCCAGCATGGCAGACAGTAACTTTTCAATCTGGACAAGAACGAGCACATCGATCCAAATTGAATCTGAGCAAGTCCTAGGCCGAACTAATTTGCACTAAGTTCTGCAAATATTCCCATGTTAGGGATTTGAGGCGGCATGTCGTCATCACTTGAGGTTGGCGTTGGCCACGGCAGAGAGCGCTTGTGTCAGGGTTTTCTGACAGCATAACGCCGGATTCTCTAGCCGTATAGCCACTGCCTCGGCCGTTGCCAGCACCCGTTGGCGTAAGCCTTTAGAGAAGCATGATGGTGTCCGGTAGACAACCTGAAATGCTTCCTTGGCATCGGCTCGATGATTCCTATCGATTAAATGTGCGAGAATAGAACTCGAAATCGACCGGGTCTCACCTCTGTCTAGCCAGGCGGGCATATGCTCACGCACCCTCTTTACCAGGCGTCTCAGTAGGTTTTCACGAGTTCTTGGGTACGTTAGGTCACTCACAATCCCCCATCCTGCGCCCGTCATACCGCGAGACACGTTGTGGGCATCGTCGTTATCAACGATCGAACTGGCCGATCAACCCTGCAAGTAATAGGCCGTGGCGAAGCGGGCCACTGTGACCTCCCCCGAGCTGGATAGTGATAATGATCGACACAAGCAAGTCCGCGCGGTTACTTGCCAGCGCGTCCGCATGAGACCAAACCGCAGGCAGCCGAGAATTCGCGAAAAATGCCGCCGTCCCACCGTGGGCAGTGCCCGGCCTACCCTGCCCCTTTGGAGGCCTTCGAAAGAGAAGTCTCCAGTCCATTTATGCTGATCTCATGAGACGGCACCTTCTAGACTTGTGCACATCTCCTGCTGGTTTCTACATTAACATAAAACTTGATAATTATTCCGGTTAAAGACTACAGACGTGTCGCCATCCTACAGCCACTTTCTAGGAATTTGTTTGCCTGAAAGTTAGCAGTCTGAAATACAGGACCCGAATTCAGATACCCGAATGAACCCTAGCGATTTTTGTGGCCCGACCCACACTCTCGAGGTATCAACACCTTTCAAGTATGCAGCGGTTGTCAGAAAGCAATTGGTCCTTTTCTTCCCTCTCTTAAGCACTGGTATTCGGACACCCTTGAGGTCATGGATTATTGAACCACTTGTCAACCGCCCACGATGGACGTACGAGTATCGGACTGCGTACATCACAGGGAGTGCCTCAAACCTCGTTCAAAACGAAATGTCTCCTCTCTTGAGATACTAGACTATCTGACCTACGAAATAGACTGTTTACCAATCGTTTTCTGAGCGAGCGGCAGCCAAAAGGATTAACTCGAGAAGGCTGGCATGACGCGGCGCATAAGGTTAGCAAGAATTATGCCCTGTGCCAACAACCGTCATTGCTAGCCTAAGTTTCGGGGATCATGGCACGTGTGCGCGATAAAAGAAATGACGGTAGAAACCTATCAGAGCACAGGCCCAAGCCAGACACACAGTAGGTGACGCAACCAAAATTCTGAACTGCGATTTCGGCTATTGAGGACTACCTACAGTAGATGTACTACCTCGTGAGATGAATTCTGGAATGTGTTTTCGATTCGAATAGGTTAGCTAAGTGAAGTTGTGACAGTAATTGTCGTACAGTATAATCTTATGTCGAGATGCCGGTTTTTGAACGAGCTTCTTTTCGGTCGTCTGCAAAAACTGCTTTGTGAAAAATGACTACCTGTGTTATGTGAATCCTCCCCACTTATCAACAGTGCACTTATAAATTCAAATATATTTTACAGAAGACATGCAAAAAATATTCTTGTACTCATTTGGAAAAAAATTACGTCTTTCAATTTTGCACCTAAAGAACGAGTATCTTAAGGTTATGAAAATGTTGGGAGAGCCAACGCTCCCAAAAACAAGGGCCAACCAATCACCGGAGACCACGTGCGTTTGCTCTCTCTACAGCGCTGTCATCTTAATCGGGCGCGTCTCCGTTGGCTACTCCCCTCGTCCCCAAGGTCATTGGGCCGAATGCCGGCTAACCACAATAGGCTGTTATAAATAAGCGTCACCTTTCAGCTAGTCGCGACTTGCTGTGTTTTCTAATACACTTTCAGTGGCCGGTCGTGTTTTCTTTGTCTGCCGCTTTGGTAATGGGGACAAGGGTCGAGTGCGTATACGCACCACGGGATTTCAAGTGCCAGGCGGGTCATAACAGAAAAGTATCTAGTTATGAGATTCTTGAGGCCGTAAAATGTGCATTCACAGAGCATCGAATGTGTCCATTTATTAGTGTTACTTATAAAGTATGCGGTATAGTCCTCATCCATAGCAAAAACGTGTGAGTCCTATATAACGTCTTCTTAACAGCGTGTAGAAATGTATGATTTTACGCACATGGAACATATACAGCTTGTAGTTTGGAAACTCTAAATTCAAGGGTAACGGCAGGTCGAGCTCAAAATTATTCGAGAACTGAAAAAAAATTTAAAAACCAAATGGATCTTTTCGTGCATAAAAATTTAAGACGTACGCTTCTACCAAATGAGTAAAGGCGCGGATATCTTGTATATTTTCCATAAAGTGCATTTGAATATACAAGGGTACTGAAAATGGACGAGAAAGATTCAGGCTACTCAAGCAGTTACTTTTTACAGAGTTTGCGCAGACAGCCGGAAAGGAGTAAATTTAAAAGTCAGTATCCTGACCTCACTGAAATACCTTGGGATTGTGGTACAAGGTAATTAATAGCACAACCCTACCCAAGTGATCTCTTCGAATCAAGAACTATTTCAGAATTTCCCTGAACATCTCCTGAGATGACGGATCAACCGTTGGCGGGGTTGTAGTACTTATTATCATGCGGCACAACCCGAAGGTGTTTCACTCATGTGGATGAGTGTCGGCTTTTCAGTGCGCGTCGTCTTGGCCACCGAAAAAGTCGCACTCACCAAAGAACGACTACCTAGTTAGTACGGACCCTTCCGGCTGATTTTTGCATATGCACAGTAGTATCCTCTTCAGTAATAATTCTGCAAAAAAATTATGCACTCTTCGAATTTTCCACTTGAAAAGAGGCATCTTCACAGCTCAGAAAGAAGCTGGCATGTGATTTTGACGACTGTTAAGTGTCTGTTCAAATGGCATCGTATATGTCCGTTTACAAGTACTACTTCATAAAGTATACGTGGTCCATACCCATTGAAAAATGTTAGAAGTGGTAGGCGGCACCTTAGTGCCTAATTTTCGTTAAATGGAAGGCCTACAGATTGCGGTTTGGAAACCTTAAACGCATGTACAATGGCACGTTGGGTTCAAAGTTATTCAAAAATCACAAAACTAGAATATACCGTTTGCTAGTGGAGAAAACTTAGAGAAGACGTCAATTTTCTACAGAGCCAATGCAGTATAGGGTATCGTTGAGCATGTTCTCTATGAAGTGCATTTAGATTTACTGGGGCAGGGGAAATATATGAAAAAATAGGCTACTTAATCGGCCACTTTTTAGTGGGTGTGACCCGGAAGGTCACGCATTTAAAAACCGGCCTCATGCCGAGTTATAATGAATATTACAATTTTACCCAAGTAATCCTTCAAAACCGAAACCATACTTTAGAATCTCAGTCAATGTCCAATCGGACAAGTCACCTGTTGAAACATGTAAAAGAGCAAAATGGAGAAGTGAGACGTTAGTAAAAAAAGCTCAGGATTTTCTTGAACCAAGGTACACACGGGCAAGTAAACACACAAAGCAAAGGTCAAGGGTAGGGTGGGGGAAGTGGGCGGGGGGCATTTTAGTACAAGATACGAGCGGTCTCGACAAACACAACTCCTGTCACCATTTACACACACACACACATATATAAGAGCATATAGAAAAGAGAAGAAAACAGGGCGGTAGGGGGCTGCGGCAGTAGGATCGATAGTCGTCATCGCATGGGCCGGTTAGCTTTCCCGACGCCGGCCCGAGAAGAAATTCGCTCCACGCTGCAATTAGTAGTTCGAGCCAGCGTGTGAAGTGCCGGTTCCACACCCGCGCACCCAGAGCCTGTAGAGACTGCTCTTATCATCAAAGAGGCTGCGGATGAGCAGAGTCTGCACGATGCCGACAAAGACCATGACGAAGAGCTGGAAGGTGGACCAGGCCATGACACGCTGTT